GTAGCCCAGAACTTTGAGAATTATCTTCTTCGGAAAAAAAAGGCAACTTCGACTCATGCACATGAACATTTGAAGGTAGACCCACAGAGTTCCATGTGCCTCTAAGAAAAACACTCCCTTTCCAACAGTCAAAGTACTTCCTACCTCAGAATCACCCCTAGGAAGAATTGAAAATTGTAGCCAATTACATGCTGTCCTTTAAGGTGGGGTTTCTCAGATTCAGCACCACTGATGTTTTAGAACAGGTATTTCTTGGTTGGAGAGGGCTGTCCTGAGCATTGTGGAATGTTCAGCAGCAGCCCTGGACTCTACCCATCAGGTGCCATTTGCACTCTGCACCCCAATTATGGAACCAAACATGTGTCCAGACATTGCCAAGTGTCCTGAGGGACAAAACCACCTCCGGCTGAGAACCATGACCTTATGGGAGCACTGGAACTGATTCCAGGATGCTCCCACCTCCCAGAGTAGCCCAACCTTTCCTGAACTCATCACCATATCCCCTTCTCCCCACTGGCTTTGTGTGTCTCCTAATCTAACTCATCTCCTGCCTTTTCCAATCCCTTCAACCTTCTGCTGTGCCCTGGAATTTATGAGTAGCTCTCAGCAAGATCCCCTATAGTCTCAACCTCTTCATGGAATATTCCTTGCTCCTACCCTGAACTTAGGACACCGTTCCCCACAGCTTTCTCATATCACATGATGGGCTCTTCTCTCTTACCCCACATACTCCTCTTTGCCAATTCCAGATCATTTCCCTCCCAACCTCCCTCTAGAAACCCAGCCCCTTAGAACAGGAGCTGGCAAACTATAGCCTGTGGGTCAAATCTGGCTTACCGCTTGTTTTTATATAGTCTGTCAGCTAAGAACGGTTTTCAAATTTTTAAATGGTTGAAAAGCAAACCAGAAGAATATTTCATGACATGTAAAATTCAAATCTCAGTGTCCATACACAAGTAAACACATTTGCTTACCTATTGTCACGGCCGTTCTTGTACTACACAAAGGCGGAATGCAGTCGAACGGTTGCAACAGAGACTGTCTGACCTGCAAAGCTTAACATACGTACCACCTGGCCCCTAACAGAGAAAGTTTCCAACCCCTTCCTTTGAGGCACGCGGCAGCGGTCTGTACCATCCGCTCCCAACCAGTTGTCACCATCTACTACCCGCCAGGTCACTCTTCCATGTGTATTAAAATATACACAGGACTGAAGGCTGGATGGCACAACTGCTAACATTAGTGGCTGAAGTTCAAAATTACCTCTACAGGTTGGAATGTTGTGTGGAAATTGACAGGGTGAAAATTTTCATATATTAAGTCCCATGCGATGTTCATTATCAGAAAGACTGGCATACAGAGCAGGAAGAAGATCTGCTATGTTTTGACAGAGGGGAAAACCACGATGAACAGGGAAACATTATGGGGAAATTTTATCCATGTGAGAGAATGCTAAGCAGCAATAGAGCTATAAGATTATGGAACACACTTAGGTCAGAAGACCTTCCTTAAAGAGGGAAAAATTCAGGACTAGAGTTAGGTGCCCCAGAAAGGAGAGTGTCTGTAAGTGGAAGTTCACAGAATGGTCTCCTGCTCTAGGCTTTAAGACTTTTTCTCCTAAGATTATATCCTGTTACAATTTAAACCAGAAACACTGATCCTTCTGCTGATTTGAGGCTAAAAGTAATTTTTTCTTGGTAAAAAATGAAAGCACCACCATTTTTATTCCTTCCAGTGCAAAGATGGAAATACAAAGATGAAATTTATAATTTAAGTGCAGGGGCGCCTGGGTAGCTCAGTCGGTTGACCATCTGACTTTGGCTCAGGTCATGATCTTGCTCATGGGTTTGAGCCCTGTGTCAGGTTCTGTGCTGATGGCTCAGAGCCTAGAGCCTGCTTCAGATTCTGTGTCCCTCTCTCTGCGCCTCCCCTGTTCAGACTCTGTCTCTCTCTCTCTCAAAATAAATAAACATTAAAAAAATTTAAAAAAAATAGAATTTAAGTGCAAAGATAAAACTCATTATGGCACATACAGTCACAAAAGATACTTTTAGGTGACAGATGACCAATATTCATACTTGATTTGGTAAATGCTCAGTGTAGAAGTGTAGGTTTCTTAAGAAACCAAAACAACCCAAAATGTGTTTGGAGTCTTAGTCCTTACTGGAACTAAAACACATAGCCCGGTAGGCTTAAGTCTTAAGGAGACTGAGATTTTTCTGCTTTTCAACTCTTCGAATTTTTATATTTACATCAAAAAAACATACCTACATGGTATGTAAATAAAATTCCCGCTCCAAAAAGTCAGAAGCACTAATCTCACTCAGTGACTATGTTTGGGAATGGTGGATTAGGAAGTGGTCCTGTGTGATCTGGACATTGAAAGGCAAGGGCCAAAGACTTGTGTTTAACCCACAGCTCAGTCCCTTAGTCCTGGGATCATCACAAGTCACTGACCCCCAGTTTTCTCACTTGTAAAAAGAGGATGAAGACGCTTGTCCTGCTAGATCCTACAGAGAAATTCAGATGATGTAAAAGGACCACCTGAGTGGAGAGGCACCATATGCATTTTAGGGCACCATGAATCTCTAACCTCTAACACGTTCCTATCTTCTTTTCAAAAGTACTGGCATTAGTTGCATCAGAATTATAAAATCCAGCCTAAAATTCCTATGTGGCATATGCAAGGCATGTTGCTACAAGTTAGAAGTAGGGCCAGAATGCTCACACAGATGAAGAGCAATCGAAATCAGGCAAGGCCTATGGGCACAATGAGCTACTTGACACAATGAACTACTTGATTCTAAGATACTGTTTTGAGGCTCAGATGTTGAGCAGGTGACTAAGCTATGCATGCAGGGCTTATTTCCCATTTGGCTTCTCGTCACCCTTTCCCCCTCTATTCCACTCCCACCTCTGCCAAAACTCTACTGTTGTTTGAGGACCATAGGGCAAAACCCCTCCAATAGACTTGATGGATGAAGCCACTTCATAATCAACCTGTAAAATGTTATCTGTCTTTCTAAGTTGGGAAGTGTATTCTTCTCAAATAAATGCACTAAATGTCCATCACAGTACTAATGTCAGTAAAATGAAAAATCAGTCCTATTTGAAAAGAATGAGACAGGAAGCATGCAGGGCTGCATGTGTGACCTCGCATTCGAGATCCCTCCAAGCCCTGCACCTCAAAACCATGTGCCCATGGTGGTTCACTGCACCTCTGTCATCCTTGCCAATCTGTCACAAGGCATGGCCATCTGAACTCACAACATGGGGATGGGGATCTTTGAAAAGTATAATAGCAAGAAACAGACCAGGAACATACAGGACACAAGTTGAACAGAACAAGAGAATGCCAAGTGCTGCTGACGGGGACTTCAAATAACCGTCCCCGGCATCTGTGGTGGTTTTACATAGAGATTTTTAATCTACTGTATACACTTTTCTCCATGTTAATTTCTGAAGCCATTAGCTAGGAGCAGAGCTGGAGAGAACTTTAAGTGCCCTTTGAGCACTGCCTAAGTTTCTTGAAGATCTTAGACTACAAGGTGTGATGTTTATGGTGGATGTTCTCATTTCTCAATTTGTTTAGAAGTTTTAGTCTTTTTTTTTTTTTTTTCACTTAACAGAGCTTGCTGCACACAGATTCTCAGAAACAGAAAAATCTGTAGATGGGCAATTATGTGGTAGAGAAGGGTGTCAACACAGACTGTGGCTCACACATCACTCCCACTCCATCTGTGACAGGAGGCACCCAAAGGCATGGCTCGTTAAGTGATTCCACGAGTACCAGACTGCTTGGGGCATCTGTCAAGGTGGGTGTTCCCTTAGGGATGAAAGGAAGGGACATATCTTGATCACTCTCTTTCTTAAGGTCATCCAACTGATTCTGAGTTATTTTCTTCTTCACCAGGCAGCCTCGTGACCCGCACTTGGCTCCCAGGTGGATCTCCACGATGGCAGAAAATGCTGCGGTCAAATGAGGTAAGCGGGGCTTCTGCACGCCAGCAGCAGGAGGTGATGCGCTGGCAAACCAGTGTTCCAGTCAGTCCAGGTGGACCTGGCTGGCATGGACTGGTCCACAGAGCTCCATCATCCTAATGAACTGACAGCACTCACTTGGGAAGATAGAAGTGGACCCAGACTCCAGAACAGCATGGCCATCCTTTTGCTGCACACTTGTTCTACAGAACCATTTCTAAGTTCCTATAGGTTGTGTCAAAAGGTCTTCCTTTGTATATCTGTACATAGTTTCTTATGAGATTGTCAACCTTTGTATTTCTTCCTATCTGCCAATCTCATCCTTAGTTTCTCCCAGCCCAAATGTGAGGTTCGTAAGGACAGAGATCATACCTTGTATCTTCACGGCATCCGAAAGTCCTGGCCTATAACACATTCTCAATAAAAATGTTCGCTAAAACAAACACTGAAAAAGTGACGGCGATAGTATTTACTGGAATTTACATATACTTATATATATATCATATACTCATATCTAAAATGTATTTAACATAATATGTATTTACATATGTTTATATTCATATATTTAATTCATACAGGTTTCTTCTATTTAACTAAAACCAACCTCCACCATCTACTGCCACAGTATCTCAAGACTCTTACAATCTTGCATTCACGTGAGGGCACACCATTTACTTCCAGGTAAAGTTTGGGGTTTGGATTCTTTTCTATTTGATAAAGCACAGCTTTTCAGACATTACGGAGATACGGATATAAAAACACAAATGGGTGAAGAAGAGCTCGTGGGGTTAACAAGATCACATCTACGTGGGTCACCAGGGCCACCTTGTACCGGGGTGCTCCAAAGGACTTCGGGGTGGTGTTTCAAGGGTAGAGAAGAGGCAGGGAGGAAGTCAGGAGGGGTTAGGAGGCCAGCGGGGAGGGGGTGGTAGTGGGTGCCTGTGGGGATGGGACCCCTCCCACCTTTTCAGGATCCTTGTGCCCGCCCCCCTCCACTCCACGGCTGGGTTAATGCTTACTTTTCACAGTGCTCTCGTACTTGACCGGGCTTGAAGCCAGGAGCCGACTGGGAGCTGGGACTGGTGGGGGCCGACACAGGACTCCTGATGCTTTGCACCGAGTGCCTGCGGCTCCGCCTGCGGTCCAGGCCCCGCTGCTCGCCCTCTCCGCTGCCGCCTCCGGAGCACACGCTGGCCCTCCTCCGGTCCCGGCGCCCGCTCGGGGGCGGCTCTGCGGTCTCGTCGCCATCCTCGTGCCGCAGTGCCACCTGTAAAAGCAGACAGCGCCCGGTGCAAGGTCAGACTTGACATCCTCTCCCAGGCCTTAGGTGTGACTTTGCATTCCACGCTCCCCTTAATGAGCATTTAACACTGTCATTCCATCCTGCTAACTCAGCTTCTCTGCAAGATTGTCACATCCGCACGCGTGCCAGAGCGCAGTCCGCGAACTTAAAGATGCTTGCCACCGTGTATTTTCCCAAATGGGTATGAAAAAGCCAACAGAGATCATGAGTAGGTCCGAGAAATATTTCATAATTAGACAGGATCTTTACCCTGGAGCCCAGCACTGTCATTTCCAGGGCCGCGTCTCTCCTGGACCCCCCTCCGCTCTGTTCTGGTCCAGGAGGTGAGGTCGGTCCTGAAGCCCAGCGGCGGGGAGCCCTGAAGTTCCTGATCATTCCTGAGCTTGCTTCCCAACGAAGGTGCTCAGAAGAGCACAGCAAGGATTCTGCCCAGAGGCAAGAGCCACAAGGCGCCTGGTGAGCGGATCTGGCCTCACCCACGGATCCGTTGCAGAGGCCTATTCGGCAGCACGTACGGCCTGATGTCAGCACCTCTGCTGGGCACTGCTATCAGGCTACCCTCCCATCCCGGGCCCGGGGTTGGGGGAGGAGCCCCGAGTTACATTGGAGAGCCTGCATATGCTAGTCACGAAAATATATACCCAAAATAGACTTCACTTCTAGATTAGTTTTTTTTTCATCTCCTCTTAAAAGTAATGCATATTTGTGCAGAAGAATAATTGCCTTACACTTTGCCACCGTGGATTTCCCACGGAAACCTGAGCCAACTGGCAGCATGCCTCCATACAGCTATCCTCCTCCAAAGGGTATTCTACTCCTGCTCCTAGTTGGCGCCCTCTCAGGAGGCCCTGCTCTGCCATCTCCTAATCTCGCTTTGTCCTGGATCCTGCCCCATGGCTGCCTCATTTTAGGTTAACACCATCTGCCTATGTGTTTGCTCACCTCCCTGCTTCTCCATGCCTGTCCTTCCCAGCCAAGGGCTATACTCACCTGTATCTCCAGCTTCTGTAAGGGGTGTGTGCGTGCGCGCGTGTGTGCGCACGCCCGCCCTCTCTAAAACTAGACAGTAGGAAAAGCACAGGTTGTCCTTAACTAGATCTGTGCACACTGGCTGTGTGGCTCACGAGCCAGCTATGACCTGTAGCTAATTATTTGCCTTCTCTCTAGCTCACCGTATGAGGATAACAGTATTGCATTCGTGGGACTGCAGTAAGAATAACTTATGTAAAGATGATCTATGTGACTGGTACTCAATAAATACCCCCAGTAAACATGCCCACCTATTCCTCCCTCTCACAGATATGGCACGCCCGAGCCAGCCCCGGCCAAGTCCAGCAGCCTCTCTGACCTGGCAACCGAGGAACTACACAGTCCTACGTCCCCAAAGGTGCCAATTCTCCAGCCACATAGGTGCTCTTGGTCACATTTTACAACTCAGACCTGACGGGTGAGAGAACGGAGAATATAAAGACCCAGATGGCTAACCGTGCAATATGGCTCTAACATTACCTATCTATAGAAAACCGACCTATTGCGAAATCAGTGGTGTCCCGTGTCCAAAGTGTTCACACCTGTGCTCATCTAGAAAGGTGAGCTTGGCTGTGTCAAGACCAGGTGGGCCACTCTCGTCCCAGTTCACAGGGATGAACACCTAAGCCACGCGGCCTGTTTCACAGGGGTGCACCCACCATCCACATGTCCCAGGTCCAGTTTCCTCTGGCTCCGGGTTTTGCGTGAGATCGATTTTGTGAAACCTCTCCTATCTTCGTGCCAGATACATTTTATAACAAGCTCACACAGAGGAGGACAATTTAATAATATTGTGACTATTTGTTCTCCCAGAATTTACTAGTCAGACATAATGTTGGGAGGTTTGACGTAATAATTGATAAGAGTTCAGAAAAAGCCCTGTTATAAAATGTCATTGGAAAGTCTGTTTCCTAGGGGTCTCCTCTCCAATACAATTGCAAGGACTAAGAATGAAGTTATACATTGGGTTAATCACATTTACCATCTCAACATTAACACTTTATGCTGCATTCTCTGGGCAAGTTTGAGAATGATTGTACACCTGATGAAGGACAGTCTTTTTAAATATTTCTAGCCAATCGTTTTTCCTTCGGTTTTAGACGTAAAAATTCTAGGCCATTTGAACTTATTCTGACCCGAAGTATTGATTCTGCTTCTTATTAAGTACACATTTGGAATGATAAGATTAGGGGCTAAAGTAGAGTTCAGATATTTCTAATTCCTTGTCTAACCTCAGAGATCCAGGGATCAAATAGTGTTCCTTCCCCGAGAGGCACACTCTGTGTGCACAAAGTGAAATCCACTTTAACTGCCTTTTGTCAGAGAAGATGGAGACAATCAAAACATTTAAATGGAAAGAAAAATCTGGAAAAATTATCAAAGCAACCCCATAAGATAAATTTTAATGGGTGCTTTCTAAAGTACAGATCCTCAGCAAAACATTCATCTCTTAAACAACAACAACAAAAAAAAAACGAGAGGGGTGTGCAGAAGGGGTAAATGGGGCACCGGATCCAAGTAGATTCAATGACAACCTCGTGCTTCACAGTGAGCAACAAGGGAACTTGAAATTTGGGGCTGGTGTTCACTCATGATTTTGTTTTTATAATAAGAATTATAGAATCACCGGTATCTCCCGAAGACAGGAAGAAAGGCTTTACTTTCACACGCAGGGCTAGAGCGGCAGTGCCCAGGTCCTTAGATTCTAGGGAACACAACAAATTAGAGTCAAGAACATGCAGAACTAGCAAAGATCTGGAGAGCACAGCACTTACCACCACTCTGAATCTGTGGTGTCAGATCTGAGTAACTACATGTGCAAGGAGTGTCCCCACCAAACATGAGATGAGATCAATAATGTCCCAAAAAATCTCTATCTAGTCTCTCCCTAATAATGCAGTGTTTCACTTGCTGGGCCCCTCAGCAAGTGCTATTTCTTTTTTTTCTTTTTAATGTTTATTTATTAAACATTAAAGAGAGAGCGCAAGCAAGCATGAGCAGGAGTGGGGGGAGGGGTAGACAGAGAGGGGGACAGAGGTTCCCAAGCAGGCTCTGTGCTGACAACAGAGAGGCCAATGTGAGGCTCGAACTCACTAACCGTGAGATCATGACATGAGCCCCAGTCGGACACTTCACTGACTGAGCCACCCAAATGCCCTGTAATTCTTTTAATTAAATGTAGAACACTACTCATAAAGTAAAACCCACATGAGGAGCAGTTTCCAAATCCAGCACTGACTGCTTACATAGTCTACCCTACTTTACTAGGAAAGCAATTAGAAGCAACTTAGGTTGGCATCTGTGACAACTTCCATCAGTCGTCTCAACGACTGTGAATGATCTGAATACTCTTTAAGTTTTTATTAGGGGCATTTTCAAACATACACACAGTGTACAAAGAGAGTACAAAGACTGTGATGTGTTTATCACCCATGACCGTTCAACAAGTATCAACCCTGTCCAACCTTGTGTTACTTAACGCCCCACTCCCTGCCCCAACCCCAGACTTTGAGGTAAATCCCAGATCACATCATTTCATCTGTAAACATTTTAGTATATATCTCTAAAAGATAAGGATTTTTAAAACCCATAACCACCATATTACCGTTCCACTTAAAATAATTTTGTTAACTTGTTTTATTTTTCATTTTTTAAAATTTACATCCAAATTAGTTAGCCTATAGTGCAACATTGATTTCAGGAGTAGATTCCTTCCACTTAAAATAATTTCTTAGTATCATCAAATATCCACTAACATGAACACTCTTGATAGAGGTCAAAAGCTATTACATTTCTGGGGCACCTGGATGGCTCAGTTGCTTAAACGTCTGACTTTGACTCCAGTCATGATCTCATGGTTCATGAGTTCAAGCCCTGCACCGGGCTCTATGCTGACAACTCGGAGCCTAAAGCCTGCTTTGGATTCTGTGTCTCCCTCTCTCTCTGCCCCTCCCCTGCTCATGCTGTCTCTCTCTCAAAAATAAACAAACACTAAGAAAAATTTTTAAAAACTACTTGAGTTTATATCATATTACTACTCACATCATGACAGGCAACCATTGTTACATAATAGACACAATCTTGTTCCATATTGCTATCTCACACCTTCTTTGTAATCCTACACATATACATCCATACCTATACATCCTGGTTCAGCTTTTAGGTGAAGTGACACCGATGCCAGTAGCATTTCAAGAAGGAACTACGCTAATGACAGCTCATAGAATATTGTCACGGTGCTGGATTCCCAGAGAACCACACCTCCCTGTCTCCTCACTCTGGTGTAGCCCCCTCCTACACTGAGTCCATTTTCTATGGGACTTGATTTGGTCAATGGGGTATCAGCCAACATGATACAAACAAGGCCTGAGAAGTGTTTGCACATGGGGACTTGCCCTTCTGAAATGCTGCTACCATGTAAAGAAGTGCAGGCTAGCCTGCTGAAGACACACAGCCTAGCCAAGAGCCAGCACCAAATGCCGAAGCAAGTGAATGAGGCCATCTTAGACCATCTCTCTGCCCCTTCCCTGCTCACATGTGCACATGCGCTCTCTCTCAATGAGTCAATAGCCAGACTCACAGATACATAATACAAGTTCTCAAACAAAGGAGCTTCTGTCTTCATGGAACTTGGTGGTATTTGGGAGCGTTCTACTTCCCCAAGAGTGGAAGCTCTCCAAAAGGGATCAAAAATCTGTCCTCTTGGGTTTTTATGGTGGCTTAATGGTGGAGTCATGATTGACTAAGTCACTGGCCACTGGCTGATTCAGCCTGCCCCCATCCAGAAGTGCTTTCCAAAAGTCAGCTCACCAACATAACAAAAGATACCTTTATCACCCTCAACACTTAGGCAATTTCCAGGGTTTTGGGAGCTGTGAGCCAGAAACGAGAATAATGACCAGATACATATTTCTTATAGTAAATCACAATATCAC